TGCCAAGTTTGGTTTAAATCCATTGCTGGTGGAGTTCAGAATGCTCTTTCATTGTAGGTGAACTATAAATCCCAGCAACTACAACTCCCAAATTACAGAATCAATCCTCCACCCCAACCTCACTAGCATTCACATTTGGGCATATTGGGTATTTGTGCTCAATTTAGTCCAGTGAATGAAAATCCATCCTGCATATTGGATATTCACATTACGATTTATGACCGTACTAAAATGACAGGTATCAAGTAGCAACGAAAACAATATTATGGCTGGGGGTCACCACAACATATGGAATGGCATTAAGGGGTCACGGCATTATCAAGGTTGAGAACCACTTGCCCATTGGTCTCAGATGTTGGTCTTACCTGGTAGCTGATGCACATGTCAGGCGTCATCACGATCTTATTCCCCTTGTTGTCCACATCTGACTGTTTGCTGAACTCCCGCTTCGAGGGAGTGATGTAGTTCTTCTTGAGGTGGTAGGTCACGTAGATCTTCTCCTCCTGGATGGAGTAGATGAGTTCGGCCACGTCTTCGTCGGCTGGCTTGCTCGGATTCCTGTGGAAGCGTTCGGTGATCTTCTAGAAGAAGACACAGAGGGGAGAGAAGGTGTGATGTTATGCAGAAGAAGATGTCACATTGTGCAGAAGATGTGATATTGTGCAGAAGATGGTGTGATACTGGGCAGAAAAAAATGGATACTGCACAGAAGAAGACATGATATTGTGCAGAAGAAGGCATCATACTGGGCAGAGAAGACACATGTGTTTGCGTATATATATGTGGTTTTGTGCATACGTTGTAATGTAATTTTTGTTTTTTGGTTTTTTAAGTTCTTCTGCTGTGTTTTCCAGTATTTTTATGAGTGATGGTCACTCGTTGGTCTGTTAGTGGTATAGTGTCCAAATTTGGTGTCAGTTCATCCAGTGGTTTTTGAGTTCTGTTAATCCCACAAATGAACATGACATTTTTATTTATAGAGACTAGCTGTGCCCTGCCACGCGTTGCTGTGGCCCAGCCTGGTGATCTGGAAAATAAAGCAATGAGAAAGTGTTGATTTCTAATATATGTAATGTCTTTATGCTCATGGGTAAACAGTATATTTTGAATGGCTCTTTGTCAGGAGGGCTTGGATTACGTTTTCTTGCTCCGGTGAAGGGGGTTGGACTGGATGGCCTTAAGTATTTTCTGTTGGGTTTTTGTAGTTTTTTTGGGCTATATGGCCATGGTCTAGAGGCATTCTCTCCTGACATTTCACCTGCATCTATGGCAGGCATCCTCAGAGGTAGTCATGGGGGCTCTGTGTGGGAAGTTTGCCCAATTCCATCATTGGTGGGGTTCAGAATGCTCTTTGATTGTAGGTGAACTATACATCCCAGTAACTACAACTCCCAAATATCAGGGCCTATTTCCCCCAAACACCATCTGTGTTCATATTTGGGCATATGGAATATTCGTGCCAAGTTTGGTCCAGATCCATCATTGTTTGAGTCCATAGTGCTCTCTGGGTGTAGGTGTACTACAACTCCCAAACTCAACGTCGATGCCCACCAAACCCTTCTAGTATTTTCTGTTGGTCATGGGAGTCCTGTGTCCCAAGATTGGTTTAATTCCATCATTGGTGGAGTTCAGAATGCTGTTTGATTGTATAAATCCCAGTAACTACAACTTCCAAATGACAAAATCATTTTTTAAGTGAAGGACATACATTGGGTTGTTAGGTGTCTTGTGTCCAAATTTGGT